ATCCAAAGAATGTGGCCAGAGAGACAGAACTTCCGATAAGATGGGCTTGTTGGTGCCTTTTCTATTGTAACCTCTATCCTACATTATCTTTATAACAGTCATGATAATAGCTCCTTCCTGAAACAGATCTTTTGTTTTAAATTCTTTAGGCAGTTTGGGAGGGGAAACTCAAATATCCTTCCTGAGTTCTCTGAGTCCTTATTGTCTTCAGCTCGAAACAATCCGCATACCAGAGTGGTGCTTCCTGGGGTAGCTTGCCCTGAGCACCATCAGAAGTAACACATCTAATGGTAAGAGCACTTAGCTTTGTTGCTGGAAAGGCCACTGTTAGAAAAATGTAAAACTTAGCAACTATGAAGATTTGGACAAGTGAACTTTTTTTTGATCATCCTAGCAGATAGTATCCAATTCATAGAATCGTTGTTATTGTTATAAGCTCATAAATGAAATAATTTAATGCATATAAAGATGGAACATGCTCTCTGGCATGTACAAATTGCTCAATATAGCTTAAGTATCACTAAAATTATCATGTTACCACCATTTACACCAACATAATCTCGAAGTTCACTCTCGTTAAATTTCAACACTGTCTCAAATCAGAAGAAAAATGCATTCTCCCTCACTTAGAGAACTATTCTCTATCCTTCACTCAGTTCCACAGAAAGAGATAATGGGTCTAAATTTTCATATGTAAGCTTTGCCTTAAAATCAGACTTGAGCAAGTCATTAACTCTGTAAGTGCTTGGCAACTCTAGCCTTTAAGTGGAGATAATTGCACTTACTTCTCTCTTCCATCTCATACAGATATTCTAAAGTTAAATATACCTTATTATTTGATATCCTCAGGGAATTAATTTTACACAGTCAGGAAGTACTGAATGCCATTTGCTGTTTGGTATTTGTTTACTGTCAGGGTCTTTTAACAAAGATATTTGATGGTGAAGAGTTAATTACACTCTTCTATATTCAGGAGCCCTGGGGCCTAATAAAATCCAGAAAACAGCTTTGCATTATCATAGCAATGAAAGAGCTTGATGAGATCATCATCTCAGTTCCTGAAAGCACAAACAACTCTGTTTTATAATAGGTCTTGTTTGTATGTCAGCCAAAAGGAAATACATGTTAGAAATGGGATAACATGTATCTTCATTAAAAACATAATTGTGTATCTGTGTGTTTGTACATGTGGGTTTTCGGGTTTCTTTAACTTTATTTTGTCTTCGTTTCTTTCTTTAATGATTTCCTTTTCCTGTCACCATGGTGTTGTATGATTTTACCTGAGGTTTTAAGTAGGATATTGAGAAACAGACAATATCCTACAGAGTTGGTTGTAAGACAGGTTGAGGAAAAGTTTCCCCTATTTTATAAAATCAAGAGTCTGCAAGGGTAGATAAGTGGAGAAAAAAACATTTATGGAGCATCTATGGATTGGGACCAAGTTTTCAAAAGAACTCTTCAAGTGTGATTTTGCATAATTCACGTAAATTTTCTTTGCAATAATGTCCTCATCTGTAAAATGAGAATTATTATATATATTTTATGTCCCATTGCATTGGATAGTTGTGAGAATTAAATGAGTAAAGTACTTCAAACAATAATAAAATATAAACAACAAAAATAACTATAGTAATAATTTAGCCTTATAGCAATTTCTGAGATGGATTTTAGTTACCCCTATCTTACAGAAAAAGAAACTGAGGCTTCAAGATGTTATGAACATTTCCCAAAGTCAAACAACACAGATGTCGTTAAAAAAAAAATCATCATCAGTTTTATAGATTTTGGAGATCATCCTGCTCCTTTTTTTTTTCAGTTGAAAAATTAGATCACTTTTCTTTTTATTAACCTGATATGAAAGCGTTTAAGTTTTGAATTTGCCAAAGATCACAGCTTCAGCAAAATCCCAGAGATTTTAATATTTTCAGTTTTTATTATTTACTACATGATTTGTATTTAAATATATGATGACTGTCGACCCAATAGATTATTTTAAAGAAAACATGGTTTGGCTTTAAATTTTTAATAAATTGCATATTACAACAATTTTTAGTTAGGTTCTCTATGTTAATTTGCTGGTCTAGAGAATGCAAACATAAATTCTACATTTTAGATTTGATTGTGATTTTCTGGTGCCAGTAAATATCATTTTGTTGCAGTTATATTACTCATTGGTAGTATGAGCATAAATACATGTATTTATATATATGCACATACAAATCAATTCAATATCAATATATTTTTAAATCTTGAAAATCTTTTTGAAAATCTAATATGTTGGATAGATTACTATTGTGTAAGATCTCCCTCTGCACATATGTTTCTACCAATTTCTCCCAAAACATTTAACACACAGCATATGAGTTTTCTTTTTACTTTGAAAGTATGTTATTTGAAGTATAACATTTTGATTGTCTTGTATTTATTATGGAATACAGTATTTACTATTATAGATTCACCTTTCTACAACATAATCCTTTTTGTTTTGAATCCTATATTATAAGACAACAGTATTAGTAATTTTTTTCAGGGGGCCCATATCTGTTATCTGTTTCTCAGCTCATCCTTTAAAAAATCCATATATATATGGGTATGTATACACATATGGAAATGTACATATATAAACGTACATATATACATATATAAAAATATATTTATTCAGTTTTGATTTTTAAACCAATATGAATACTTTTATTAACAGGCATTTCATTATACTCTTTTAAAATATATTTCCTTCTTTCTTGCCCATCTACAACTTCTATGTATACTGTAACTTTTATAGCATGAGTTTCTTTTGAGGATAGCATACAAAACTCGGTGTCTTTGAGAAACAATGATATTTATATAGGCTAAAAGCATTGACAATTTCTCTTAACTTGAGAAGACTACAGCTAGGGTTAGCCTTAAATCCACAGTTCCAAGGGCAAAGTGATCCACGGTGGGCTAAATTAGACCTAAAGAAAATTGAGCAATGTCAGATCCCTTATCATCAAACCTATTCCCAAACAATGAATTTCTCTTCTCTAGGAAAGATTAATGTTATTTTCATTCTTATTCCTCTCTAAAATCTGTTCTCAGGATGGAGTTATATGAGAAGGGATGAGATGTGTACATTATGAGGCTTAATAAAGCTTCCCTTCAATTCTTCAGGGAAGTACCTAACTTCCTGCTTTATCCCGCTTGCATATCTTAGACTGGAACATTTTAGATCTGCCTGGTCACAAGTCCTCTGCTGTCTGACTATAGGTCTGTGAAAGTATTCTGCAAATTTATAAACACTTTTGAAAGCTACTTCCTTTGAAATCAATTTCAAAGACTCTGTCACGGTTATTTGCACCAAGTTTTAGAACACAAGAGGAAGTTGCTCTTAGAGGCAATGAAGAAAGATATAAATTGGGTAAAATTCCAGGGAGAACAAATAATCTAATTGATGTTGAAAAACACCCTCTAAATACTCTAAGCCATCATGAAATACTAAACGAATCTTGTGACCCAAAATGAACTGTTTTTTTTAAATCACATAAAAACCTCTTTCAGTACATCTGGAAATTTAGATTATCATATTATAGAATAAGAATTCAGCTATTTAATCCCCATTTTAAGCTGGGGAGATAGTGATTTTAAAGTCCAGTATAGTTTTATACATGCTGATAGCGGGCCGGCCTGTGGCTTAGCAGTTAAGCGCGAGCGCTCCGCTGCTGGCCGCCCGGGGTTCGGATCCTGGGCGCGCACCCACGCACCGCTTCTCCGGCCATGCTGAGGTCGCGTCCCACATACAGCAACTAGAAGGATGTGCAACTATGACATACAACTATCTACTGGGGCTTTGGGGGAAAAAAATAAATAAATGAAAATTATACATGCTGATAGCTAACAAATCTACATATCATTAAAAATAAAAATATAATTTTGGAACATTTTCTGAACATTGGCTTAGAAATTTCAAATATTTAAATTTTCATGTATCTGAGAAAAATATTTAGATCTTTTTTTAAAAAATAGTAATTGTGAAGTATTAATTTGTTGGGAAAAAACTTGCATTGACTGGTCACGGGAGTTAACCTAAATAGATTAATTGGACTTACTAGAATTGTTCTGATTTAAAATGTTTGGATTGAAAATATATTAAGCCTTTTCCATTGTTTGTTAAAATATAATGTTAAATATTCTCATTACTACAATAAACAATGACATCACATGACTCCTCACTTATAAGGACTTTTTATGCTGGAGGGGGGTTTTTAAAATATGGCTTTGGTAATAAACCCAAGGTAAAAGACAAAGGGATGTATAACAGACCATACTGAAGTGGTTATTCATTAAAGTGACAATAGGAGGGTGTATGTGAAAAAAGTAAAATAGTTCAAATCTTGTTTAAAACCCTTTAGAAAGTAATACATTTCCAGAAATTTGAAGAACACAACACCATAGTGGTTCTCTGATTTAATGATAAAAAAAGATGACATATATATTGTGATGAAAAATATGCCACGTACCAGTCAAAGTACTTTTGAAAAAGGAAATAAAGCGGTCATCAATGGAAAATGCATTTTTCTAGCATCTATATAATATTGTCTTTGTGAATCCTGAGAAGTATACAAAATTAGACTTGTGAAAACACTATCTTTGCCTAGACGTGATTTTCATATTCCCACACTCAGATTTTTTAAGAACTCAAAGTAGCAGTGGACCATACAAAAGTATTCCTTTGAAGTAAATACAAATACTGAGAAGGTGAAAGACTAATAGCCTTTAAAATTATTTTTAGCCTTATGAACCTAAAATTAGTAGACTACCTCACCACAATTTTAAATGTGAAAAATAATCCTGTGAATTCATGATAGGAAATCTGGACCTAAGAATTCCCCAATATTTCCCCTTTTATGGCAAAAACATCCATACTAGAATTTTCCATTTCTCATTCTCTCATTTTTCAATTGCTGCATTTAGTTTTATACAAAACATAGGCACTTTACAGACAGACTTGATAAATCACTTACCAGCTGACTGTCTTGAGGAACTGGACGTCCAGATTTTGTTTCCACGGTAATGGGTTAATGGAAGTTCCACTCTCTGTGTTGTTTCAGTCACCCAAGATAATATGTCCTACGTGTTAGGAAGGCAAAAGATGAAGTCTAAAGAGCTGTATGGGGGTGATGATTTAACTGTACAACGTCTGTTCTTTTAAGGATTAAAGGCTTAAGAAAAGGCTTTCTGTTATCACTTGTGGTGGTAGACAGAATGAAACAAAGAGCCCATGGAAATCTACTAAGCTTAGCATCTGGAATTAGTGCCATCATATTATCACATATAGTTAATTAAGGCCCTTCCTTTACTTTTACTGTTGCTTCTGATTTCCACTGTAAAAACCAAGCATAACACAGATGCTGTGTCATGGCTCCAGGGCTCCTATTAGAAACCCTCACTAACAGTTGATTTATCTGCTCCTCTAGAACTGCATGGGCAAGTTACACATGCAATAATATATTCTCTGCGTAGGAGCAAAGGGAAAAAGAAATGCAGCCAAAAATAGTTGGAGCATATTCTGCATCTTAAATGATGCCTGTACCATCCAGAGGCAGGTCTGTAAATAAACTTTATTAGCCAGCTGGTAGTCGTGGTGACTGTAGTAAAAACGTCTGTTTCAAAACAGAAAAATCTTACTTGAGATCTTCTCATTTTCCGTATGACCAAAGTGTTTTCTACGACTTGGTTCCTTCTTGTCTCTAGGTCCTGAAATCATAATGCTGACAAAGGGCCAAGTTTTTTAAATGGGTCAGTTTTTCGATCTGAAAAAGAATGGAATTTGAAGTGAAAACCTATCATTCAACAAAATATGAAGACATAAATATTTTATTTTATTGTCCTCTGTAAACATCCCAAACAAATATTTTCTTTGAATCAAATGGGAAAATATAGATTAAGATTTTTTCTTGAAGTCTGCTTCAGGGAAGAAACTGAGACAACCTGAGCATCATGCTGCTATAGAGGTACAGGGAGGCAAAACAATTGGAGGCAATTAGGTACTTTTACAGATTTGTCAGAAAAACAAGGCACAAGTATTCCTAGTTTGTCTCCCCACATGCCAGAAATTTGAAGAACACATTACGGTAGTGGTTCTCTGAATTAATGAAATGTGATTTCAACATTTCATTTTAATTTCATTTTAACCAGAATATGATCCCCAGGAGCTTAGCATGCCTCCTTTCTTTCCCTTGCAGGAGACTGAGATTTACATTCTAGAAAAATTATTATTATTATTCAGAAATTACATATATATCTATAGATGGAGATCTACATAAATCTGTCTATATCTATTTATCTCATCTATCTATCTATCTATCTATCTATCTATCATCATCATCATCATCATCATCATCATCTATTGTGAAATATTGAGAAACAAAGTGTGGGATAACCGTGCACTAAGATGGCTGGAAGCAATGATGATAGCCTAGTAACAATGAGCACACAAAGTGCTCAGGTCCTGATTTCTAAATGTTATCCTCTACTAAAGAAACTCAAAAATCTTAGAAAAATAGCTGGCTCCAGGGCTGAGGCAAGGAAAATATACAATAAATCAGAAAATAAAGAATTTCTCAAAAGGTGATAGGGGAATGTGAAAAAAAAACATAGAGCTAATTTGACAGAACTCCCATTGGCCATCTGGGATAATTTAAGTATCAAAATAAGTTATGATAGGATATATACAGCTTTTGAATTAAATAGAAAGTCATGCATTCATATTGATATAAATGAATAAATGATGGGGAAAGAAAAGTTCTTTCTTATAATATAATGCTATTTAATAAATTAAGAATGATAGAAATAAAAACCATTGATAGAATTGGCAACCATTTTAAAGCTGAAAAATTCAGGCTAAATGATCAATGGATGTTAAATGCAGGGGAGTGGGTTATATTCTCAGATTATCTCACCACAAAATACCAATTAATTACGAAGATTAAAAAGGTAACATTGTGGTAGAGAAACGGGGCAGGCACCAATTTAACCAAGTGATCAAGTCTGGCAGTACCCACCAGTGGCGGAACAGGCCGATAGTCCATGCCCTTTGATGTGGTGCACTGACAGAGCTACAAAATCTTTTCTGTTCTATCCCTGCTTGGAATGTATGTCCTGACTGTTGAGATGGGCAGTTGGGTGGGGTTGAAAGACATTCTACAAAATTAGAAGTTTATACTCTAAAACTGCAAAAATCATGAGACACAGAAAATGCTGAGTAATGGTAGAGATTGAAGGAAGCAAAACGATATGACAATTAAATGCAACATATAATCTCTGACAGGATCCTGGACCAGAAGGAAAAAACAAAAAGCTTTTGATGAAATAGTTGTGGTGAATATGATTGTGATAGATGAGTTGGATAGTAGTATTATATCAATGCTGATTTTCTGATTTGGGTAGTTGTGGTTACGTAAGAATGTGCCTTATTTTGGAGAAATACACACTGGTATGTTTTAAGAATGATTATATCTACAGCTTGATCTCAGATGGCTCAGAAAAAGAATAATGATAATGAATGAATGTGAATGTGTGTATATATGTATATGCACGTGTGTATGTATATATATAAATAGAGAGAGAGAATAATTATGATGTAATGCTAACAATTGGGGAAAATGGGTGAAGCAGATACAGGATATTTTGTACTACTATTACAAGTTCTCTAAGTTTGAGATTATTTTATAATAAATTATTATTAAAAAGAAGTAAGAGTAAATTGGAAATAGACCATTTTTTAAATGTTTGAATCATCTTAATCCCTAAAAATTGATTAAGTGGTTCTAATTTCCAGTAGTTTCCTTCAACATATGGCAGTAATAAATGAACATTTTTCCCTGGAAGAAGAAAACATTGTCACAGGCTTTAAATTATGTCTAGAAACAAATTTTCAAATACAATCTCCAACATGCAATAAAAAATAACCAAGCATAAGACAAGACAACATGAATTAACTACGATATTGTTCTCCAATAGTCCCTGCCTCATCTTATGGAAGATTGTATCTCCCCATCCCATTGACATCACACTTGGATATATCACAAGCTCAGGCCAATAAATGTGAATAAAAATGATAGATCTGACTTCTGTACAAAGCTTTGAGAGCTCATTGTCCTGCCATCTCATTTACCTGTCCCATGACACCAGTCATGTCTGATGTATAGTTTGCTCCTTCAACTTGTGTTCTGGAGTAAGCCATTATTAGTTAGAGGAATATAAAATAAAACCGCCATAGTGAGATGCAATTTTATGCCCAAGATAGCAAATATTAAAAATAAGACAATAATAAATGTTACCATCTATGTGAAAAATAAGGCAATATCAAGAAAATTCAAAATTCACAGACCTCACAACCCAGTAATTTGACTTGTATATAGAGAAACTCTTGGACATTTTCTTCAACACTTGTACATGAATATTCAAAGTATCGTGGCTTATAAAAGAAAATTTTCTACCTCTCGAACAGCCTTCAACATTAAAATGAATAAACAAATATAGTCTTATACATCAAGAAAATTGAAAATGCACAGACATGACAACCCAGTACTTTGACTTGTATGTAGAGAAACTCTTAGGCATTTTCTTCAGAACATACGTACATGAATTGTCATAGTTTCATTGCCTATAATAGAAATATTTCTACTCCTCAAATATCTATCAACATTAAAAGGAACAAACAAATATAGTCCTATAAATGTAGTGCAAATAAATGTTCCAAAGCTTCAAAAATCAACATAAGTAAATTTTAGAAACATAACCTTGAGCCAGGATAAAAGTAAGTCACAAAAGAACACATTACATATGATTGTCTTTATATATGATTAAGACATGCCAATGAAAGGAATAAACTGTGTGAGTAAACAAGTAAATGTGTTAATCTAAGAGGGAAATCCAGGGAATTATAAATACAAAATTCAGAGTAGTGATTATGTTACCTGTAGGCAGGATATGTAAAGAGATGGGACTGAGAAGAAGCACAGAGATACTTCACTGGTAGGGATAATACTCCATTTCTTAGGTTGATGGTGGTACAGTGGTGTTCCTTTTGTTCTTATTCTTCATATCATATACGTATACACATACTTTTGTGTATGAACATATATGATCTTGTACTTATACTTATTTAATAAAATAATTTAATAAAACTAATTCAGAAAATGATACAGTAGGAAAAGAGTAAAGTGAAAAATTGGATACAGTGAGTCGAGACAAGTCTTGAATGACTTCTAATGTAAAAGAGAACAGAGAAAATGTAGGAATATCTAGAGTAGATTTGACTCAAAGATTTGTTTTGGTTTGTTTTAAGTTGTGAGACATCATGATGTATTTGCTGATGGGAATTGATCGTTTGGGAAGAGAAAAAAATGAAGATACAGAGAAGTATCAGTTGCTAGAGTAGACGACAGTTGAAGTATTCAGTGCACATGTAGAGAGGTTGGCATTACACAGATATCAAAGACTGTTCATCTGTTGTAAGAGAAAATTCAGAATTGAAGGAAAGAGATACACATTTGCTGTTGGTGGTAGAGGAGCTATTTTTCTTTTATTTATGATTAAAGGGGATAGGAAATCCCTGTAGTACCAATTCTTACTCTAGTACTTGAATGAAAAAATGTGATGTTTCATTTGAGGTACAGATTAATCCTAGATAAAGATTTTGACTTCCATCACTCATCTCCTATAGGAGACACTTGATATAAGCTATAAGACACTTCCTTCTAGCAATGTGGCTGTCTAGATATTCTGAAAGACAACCAACAAAGAGTAATTAAGTTCTGGATAAAACATATCTGTTGGAGCATTCCTAGGCTTTCTAAAAATGAAAGACATCTCTACATTTTAAAAATGGAAGAAAGAAAAATTATTATCTAGAGGAGGGGCTGGCAAACTACAACACTCAGGCCAAATCTACATTTCCATTTGTTTTTGTAAATACAATTATATTTTTAAAAATTTATGTGCTCATTCCTTTCTATGTTGTTTTCTGTGGCTGTTTTCAAGCTACAATGACAGAGTTGAATAGTTGCAACAATGACCATATAGTTGGTAAAGTTGGAAATGTTTAGTATCTGGCCGTTTACAGAAAAACAATCATTACAAGAATATTACAAAGAATTTCTGTATGTTCAGCATCCATTTTCCCATATTATTAAGTTCTTACACTCTGATGGTACATTTGTTACATACTAATGAACCAATGTTAACACTTATTATTAATGAAAGTCCATACTTTATTAGAATTTTATGAGTTTTTATCTAATTCCTTTTTCTGTCCCAGGGTCACATCCAGGGTGCCACATTACTTTGAAGGGTCATTTCTCTTTAGATTCCTCTTTACTGTGACAGTTTCTCAGATTTTCCCTATTTTTGATGACCTTGACAAAACTGAGGAGTACTGGTGAGGTATTTTGTAGATTTTCATTCCATTTGGGTTTATTTGGTGTTTTTTCCCTGGTTATGCAATGGTTATAGGTTTTTGGGAGAAAGAACTGAGAGGTAAAGAGCCATTATCATCAATATCAAGGGTATTTTCTACTACCATGTCTCATCACTGAAGATGTTAACGTGATCACCTGGCTAAGATAGTGTTTGCCAAGTTTCTCCACTGTAAAGTCACTCTTCCCTCCTCACCCTACCTGTCACCCTTTCCATACTCTTTAGAAGGAAAGCGCTATGTGAATCCCACACGTAAGGGATGGAATGGGGAGTTATACATATTTCTTTGGAATTCTTCTGTATGAGATATTTATATATTCTTCCCTCTTAATAACTTATTCAGTCATTGATTTTTATCAGCATGAATTCATGAATATTTCTTTTATACGATGGGTTTATAATCTAACATTATTTATTTTGTTGTCCAAATTGAATTCTCAGGTATTTTAGTCATATAAAGGAACTCTATTGCATGGTTCAAATTCTGTGCAATTACAACCCTCACAAATAAATGCTTACTGAGCACTTTCTAGTCCTAACATGCTATCCATCAATCAGTAAGTTAATAAGCCTTTGAGTGCTGCTAAGTATCTAGCATTTGTCCTAAACGCATTGTTCTAGATGTGTAATTATTGGGGAATCTTAAACACTAAGGTAACCAGAAATCTCTAGCTTTCCTGACAGCACAGAACCAAAACTACAGTGGCTACTCCTGCGTACCCCACCACATGATGCTGTCCAAGGCCCTCATTGCCTCCAGCCCACACAGACTTAAGCCCAGCTCAGGGAAGATGCCAAAGAATCACAGAGGGTTTGAAATTGTATTTGAATTTTAAGCTAGATCCCAGCTCCCTTCCTTCTCCAAGGAAGTTACAGAAATTTCTGGACAAGCTATGGGGAAAAGTGATTGGTCCAAATTTCAGTCAGGCCAACTTCGAATATGTTTGTTTACTAAGTACCAAAGTCAGAAAGCTACCTCGATTTATTCTTGTTTAGTTATATGTGGGCAACATCAACTATGAGTTTTACAAAGTATAAAATTAAAAAGCTGTTATTATACATTATAGTGTTAAATCAAAAAAAATGACAAAATGAGTGTTGAAAAAGTAAATAACAATTGTTGCCTTCAGAGCTTGAGATTCTGCTTCCCATCCTCACCCCAACGAAGTCTTAACCGTTTTCAAGACTCCAATGTTCGTATAATGCATAACTATGTTACACTTTTTAAAAAAAATAACTGATTCTGAAAAATTATAATTATTAAACAGGGTGCTGAGAAATCCCTAGACCTTTTTGTAAAGAGTAAGAAAACGAATCACATCAACTTCTCCCTAGATTTGACTTTTTACTTTAGGAATTAAGAATGCAATCGTCTATTAAGACCCAAGTGAATTTTTCAGGATCCTGTTTGTCTTCTGATTTGCAGAAAAGAAGCATTGATTGCTACAGTAAACATAGCATAGAAAGAAAAAATCAATAGAATACAAAACATAGGAGACATAAGCCAAAACAACATTGTGTAAATAAAGAAGAATAATTCTTCTTCTTTTATTTTTGTTTTTATTTTGTTTTACAGGTAAATATTATTTTTTAAAACTTTAGTTTACATGTATTATATTGTATATCGAACAGAAGGAACTCTAGAGCTTAAATGTTTCAAATTAGCTGAAGACATTCAAGCATAAATTACACTTATTGAGATTATTTATAAACATCTTGAAATCAGTTTTGTCATCCCCAAAATTTACATAAAGCTAAGATAAATTCTAAATTAAGCCACTTTTCAAAAAGTGAAAGAAAATTAAGAAGGAAATTATAAATATAGTTATGTTCCTTAAGTTTTTTACTCTTTAGTTTCTCTTTTAAGGTTTTCAAAGTCCATGTGCAGTTATTAATACACATATACATTTATGCATATATGTATAAATATGTGTATGTATATATTTGATGTACTACTAAACAAAAAAAAAGTAACCACAAAAATAAAGAATTTGAAGTGCTTGGATATTTTTAATGAGTCTTTAACAACTTGAACTATCTGTGTGTTCCTACATCATTGCTGTAGATTATAGATTCGTGTCATATTTAAAAAAAAAGAAGAAGAAAAAGAAAGAAAACAAAATAAAAAAGATGATAGGGAAAAAATTCTTCCTACTTCTTATTTGAAGATCTCAAAAACCATGTGAATCTGACCATAATCATTCACATGACTCCTTCTCTACCAATCTAAAATATGAAAACGATGGGGAATGATGAGAAGAAAGCTTCCATCTCAGATATGTTAAGAAATCCCTTGTTAGATCTCAGTTCGTAAATTCAGTGTAGACCCCTTCATTTGCTCCTCGTAGTGTGTGTCAAATTTCTCATTCAAGGCTACTGTAAAGTGATTCTTCCAGTCTCCTACAATCCCTGTAACAGAAGAATAAAAATAGTAAATACAATGTCTTCCAGCCAGAATCATGAAGTTTTCTAATATTCATCACTTTCGTTAACCTAATCAAATTTTATTCTTGTAATCCTCAATTATAGAAATAAAATGCATGTCATAAACGATATTTATATTTGAGCTTGCAAAGAAGGATTTATTCTAATTGTTAAAAAACAAAGCAAAGCAAATTTCTTTCTCTGACTCTTTCCACATACTATACTTCACTTAATTTTTCTTCTCCAATTTCCTCTAAAATGTTGGGGCTTCTAAGATGAGATCCATGTTTTACTCACTTCCAAGATATTAAATATCATTTTCATGCTGATAACACTTAAATCCAGACTTATGGCTCCATATCCAACGGTCTACATGACATTGCCACCTGAATTCCATCCAAGTATCTCAAATTCAACTAGTTCAAAAATAAATTCATTTTCTTCCCCACCAAATTGTGTTTTCTTGGTGAAATTTTCCATAATCTGGCTAATCACAACACCAGGTATCTGAGGCATAAATTTGAAGGTCTGCCTCAACCACAACATCTAATTCTTTATACATACTCAGACTTCCTTCATATCCATTGCCTCCTTCCATTTCTGCTGCCACTGCCAGAGAAGCTAGAAGCTCCTCAGTGTTTCCCGCCTGTGCTAATATCTTTTGCTTTCCATCACATTCAACCCTCCCCTGGTCAGAAGGCAGTCACTCTGTACTTTAAATTAGTTAGCAGTTCACTTTCCTCCTTAGCTCAAGGAGCTCTCAGCTTTCCCAATGAAATAATCCAAAACGCAGAAGAGAGAAAATGTGTGTCCTGAGGATTGGATAGACTCTGAGCATATAGCAGTTAGCAGCCCTTTACAAGCATGACAATTAAGTTTATTGTTTATTGTTTCATCTTCAAAATATGTGTGGAGAGGCTGGCCCTGTGGCCTAGTGGTTAAGTTCGGCCTGCTTCGCTTTGGCGGCACGGGTTCAGTTCCCAGGCATGGGCCTACACCACTCATCAGTGGCCATGATGTGGGGGCAACCCACATACAAAATAGAGGAAGATTGGCACAGATGTTAGCTCAGGGTGAATCTTCCTCAAGCAAAAGGAGGAAGATTGGCAACAGATGTTGGCTCAGAGTGACTCTTCCTCAGGAAAAAAAAAAAAAAATGTGTGGACATTATAGAAAAGGAGACTGAGATAATCTGAGAAGTAAGTAACTAAAATATAATCTGCATGTTAACTCTTTGTTCAGGGGCTCCCTATTTTCGCCCAGTGTCAGGTTTGTTACTCCTATTATTTCAAAATCCCTGACCCTCCCACTGACAATTTGGTTTAAAGAACAAGATTTTCTTTGTTCTATCTCTGCTTCACATATCAGTAAGCCTGCATGTCCCAATACTCTGCATATGCTCCATGCCTTTGGATTTATAAACTGGTTATACCTCATCAGACCCTGCCTCCTCCTAGGAGAACATCACCTCATTGTACTTCGATATTTTTGCGAAACAGACCTATATTTGCCACTGGGTGTTTTGAAACTTAGTCTTTTTTTGCAACAGGTTTATTGAGATATAATTGATATACAAACTACTGTGCATATTTAATGTGTACAATTTGATGAGTTTGGACATTTTTCACTTAGTCTGGAAAAGTGTCTGCTGCTTGGTCAAGGAAAAGCTGACTAAGTGTTCTAAGCTTGTTTCCTCATCTCGAAATGACATGATAATAGGAATTTTCTCCTGAGTCTCTGATTAGAATTTAAAGAAAATTAGAATTTTAAAATTATCTATATTTATATAATGTACATGGTGCAGCACCAAGGCACAGAGGCTTAGTAAATGATAGCTAGTAGAGTGTAGCATCAGTGCTGGTGCTCAGGTTGCGGTGGCTGCTGGTCATTCTTAATATAATGTGCTGCATATATTAAATAATCAACAAGTAATAACAATTCATTATTAGCAGAGTAGTAGTACTAATGTTCTATGCCTTTGCAGAACTGTTAACTCAATAAAAAGAGTGCTCAAATGTGAAACAGCTCTGAAGAAAACAAGCTGGGTCCACAGGCATGAACAGATCTCAATGGATGTTTGCCTGTAACTATTTCTACTTGCAAATTCCTCTAACAATAGAGGCAAATGACATGACTATCTCACCTTTTCTCATGAAGGGAGATATTTTTTGGTTCATGACTTCGTCTGGTAGTATTGTGTAATTGGTGGATGGATTGTTCTTCATCTCCTGGAATGAAGTATGTTGTACAATCTTGTCCACAAGCTCCTCCGATGTCTTCTTTCCCAGAAATTGTATCAATTTTATCACCTCTTTTTTGATATCCTAGGGAGAAAAAAATATTTTGAAGACTCAATTACTAAAATTGAATACATTACTATTTGGATTTAAAAAAAAAAGGAGAGAGAGAAAGGAAAATTTTTCTCTTTTTTTACCCACTGATATTTGAATTACACGTCTCTAAGTATAATTTTCCTCATCCATAAAATGCATATAAAAGATACTTCAAAGATTGTTAGAACAAGAAAGGATCTTATGTGTATAAAATACACTTTGTAGTCCTTGATGCATAGTATATGCTCAATAAATATAATCTGTGAATATGAATATACACATTGAACAACTACAGTCCCCAGTGACAGATCAAGTTTGGGGTTGAAAATATGCAGACAGCTTTCATTTTTCTCCTAATTTATTGATGTAACTAGTAAGAAGCAAAGGAACCAGAAAGATTAAGAAAATGTGCCTCCAAAAAGCAAATACTCAACATGGAACATCAGATGCATGTGAACCATAGCTACAAAGATCCTCATCTCTATGTCACTCCAATAGTGTATCCTATAATCCAGCTAAATCATTTGGTGCAACTATTCACAATACCAACTATAATGCTTATTCTGATATGTAGTTCCCTCTACACAGAATGCTGTTCTCAAATTCTCTGTCCTACAAATTACAGCTTGTCTGTCAGACTTCAGCTTAAGTATCACCTTCTTTGCATTGATTTCCTTGATTATTCCAATTTGATTACATGACCCTATTTTTATTCCCAATTTTCATTCCCATATAAATCTACTGTGCCATATCTTTATTCTCATAAATTTATTAATTTTATTGTCTGTCTTCCAGAAAAAAGATCATTTCTCTACATATAACTTTTTTAATTGAGGTAACATTGATTTACTACATTACATAAATTTTAAGTGTACGTCTCTGTGTTCCCCACCAAAAGTCTAGTTGCCATCTATCACCATACACATGTGCCCCTTTACCCCTTTAGCCCTCCCCCCACCCGCTTCCTCCTGGTAACCCTCAATCTGTTCTCTGTAATACGTGTTTATTTTTGCTTGTGTATCTTCCACATATGAATGAAATCATATGGTATTTGTCTTTCTCTGACTTTTTTCGCTGTTTGATGTTTGCTATGGGTTTGTCATATATGGTCTTTATTATGTTGAAGTACTTCTTTGTATGCCCATTTTATTGAGAGTTTTTATCATAAATGGATGCTCAATCTTGTCAAATGCTTTCTCTACATCTATTGAGATGATCACATAATTTTTATTCTTCATTTTGTTAATGTGGTGTATCACAATGATTGATTTGTGGATGTTGAACCATCCTTGCATCCCTGGAATAAATCTCACTTGATTGTGGTGTAGGATTCCTTTTAACGTATCATTGTATTCAATTTTCTAATGTTCTGTTGAGGATTTTTGCATCTATGTTTATCAGTGATATTGGCCTATAATTTTCTTTTTTTGTATAATTCTTATCTGGTTTTGATATCAGGGTAATGTTGGCCTTGTAAAATGAGTTAGGGAGCATCCTCTTCTCTTCAATTTTTTGGGAAGAATTTGACAAGGGTAAGTATTAATCTTCTTTCCTTTTAACTTGTATTTTATAAGTAAGTGTGTACTATACAATTCTGATACAGATTTGCTGTTTTCTGATTCTGTCTATCTATTTAACACCTCACTCAAAGCTTTGTATACCCTTGCCTTTTTCTTTCAGATAGGAGGACTCCTTTTAACATTTCTTGTAAGGCCATTCTAGTGGTGAACTCCTTCAGCTCTTGTTTGTCTGGGAAAGACTTTATTTTTCCATACCTGCAAGATAGCTTAGCTGGATAAACTATTCTTGGCTAACAGTTTTTGTCTTTCGATATTTTAAATATATCTTTCCACTCTCTCCTGGCTTGTAGGGTTCCTGCTGAGAAATCTGCTGATAGCCTAATGAGTATTCCTTTCTAGATTATTTTCTTTTTCTCCCTGGCTTCTTTTAATATTATTTCCTTGTCATTTATATTTCACAGTTTTATTATCATGTATCTTGGAGAAAGTATTTTTGTGTTGAGATAATTAAGTGCTATATCACCTTCATGGATTTTTATATCCAGTTCCTTCCCCAGGTTTGGGAAGTTCTCAGCTATTATTTCTTTTATTTATTTATTTATTTTTTTAGTTTTATTTATTTATTTTTTTCCCACAAAGCCCCAGCAGATAGTTGTATGTCATAGCTGCACATCCTTCTAGTTGCTGTATGTGGGACGCGGCCTCAGCATGGCCAGAGAAGAGGTGTGTCGGTGCACACCTGGGATCTGAACCCGGGCCACCAGCAGCGGAGCGCGCGCACTTAACCGCTAAGCCACGGGGCCGGCCTATTATTTCTTTAACTAAGCTCTCTGCTCCATTCTCTATCTCTTTTCCTTCAGGGATACCTATTACCCTTATGTGTTGCCCTTTCTAATGGAGTGAGATAAGTCTCATAGAATTTCTACATTTTTTTAAGTCTTAGTTCCCTCTCCTCTTCTGACTGCATCATTTCCAGGTTTCTGTCTTTGAGCTTGCTAATTCTCTCTTCCGTATGATATGCTCCATTTCTGATGCTTTCTGATACATTCTTCATCTCATTTATTCATTGCTCAGTTCCAGAATTTGTTTGGTACTTTATTTAAAGTTTCAATCTCTTTGGTAAAGTATTTCTTCTGTTCATTGATTTTATTCCTGAGCTCATTGAACTGCTTTTCTCAGTTTTCTTATACCTTGTTGAGTTTCTTCATGACAGTTATTTTGAATTCTTTATCAGTTAGATCCCAGTCTTCCATGATTTTATGTTTGGTTTCTGGAGAATCATTTTCTTTCTGTAATGCCATGTACTGTGGATTTTGTGTTGCTCGCTGAGTTAACTCCTCTGAGGTCACATTTGCTGTAGCATACACGTTTTTTATTTAGGTATTGCTTTCTTTTGATTCAAACTTTTCAACTGCTAGGAGATTAGAAGTCTTTCATTTGTTTTTCAGTAGGTGACACTATAGTGCTAGCTTTTAGTTTTTCTTACCTGAGCTATCTCTGGCCATATTTGAGAATCTTCATATTCCACCCTGCACAGCCTCTATTTGGGGTGTCACCAGTACTCTCCTCCTAGCCACCTGCACTTTTGGGGGTCACTGATGCCTTGCTATTGCTGGTGTTGCTGCAGTTGCTGGCTTTGCCACTGGGGCTTAAGGATGGCTGATGTCTCAGCAGCATCCGGGTCACCTGGATCAGGGGTTTCACTACTGTGGTAGGACAGGGAGGGCTTGGGAGGGAGCCTGGTACATGGGGCACCATTTCAGCTTTTGCTTGTTATCTCCTGGTCACAGGTGCAGCTGCCATTGGGGTGTAGAAGTCTTGTGTGCACCTCCACCACTGTTATCAGGCTCTGAGCCAAGACTGAGGGCTGTGATCATGGGGCTCTGACTCTTCTGTTGTTCCACTTCCTGTCGCAGGTGTCACCCTGGCTGACCAGCTAGAATGACACACGTGCCTCTGCTGCTGCCCACTGAATTCTCTGGGGATGAGGCTGGCTGGCTCAGCTGCTGTGGCCAGGGATACAAGATCTTGGGTTCTGCCTCCGCTGTTCCACCATTTAGCCTCTTCTATGTTCTCCAATTCACCCACCTTTGTATGTGCCAATGTGTGGATCTTTCTGGTATCCTAGTGTGTTGTGCAATGTAGCCTTTGTCGGGTCGTGGATGTTTTACTGTAGGTGGAAGGAGAGGGACAAAAGGATCCTCTCACGCCACCATGATGATGTCTTCCTACATACAACATTAATATGCATTATTCTCTTTCTACTTGATACATTGTAGACACAAGAGAAAATTAATTTATTCATTGCTAGGCTCCTTATTGATTGAACTCTAGAGGGAACCTGAACATGGCCATTATCAACCAAAATAGGGAGTAAATGGACATGGACAATTTGAGGGAGTGAGACGGTTAAATTAACTAATGAATTTTGTTTGTGTGTCTTTTAAATTTACAGTCTTCAATATTCTAGTTACAGAACAATGTTAGGTAATATAATAAACTACAGATTGTGGCTGCTTCTCATTCAGATTCGTCCAGTGAAAATTCTATAAATAAATTATAGTTTAATTTCTAAAATATCATTAACTATTTTATTTTAAATGTCCTCATCAAAACAATTATAAAATTACTGCAACATGAATTTTAATAATTGTGCAAAAATGTGAACAAGACATGGATGTAAATTGCTTTCCTGGTGCTAATAAAGAATGAGAATTGAGGGCCTGCCTGGTGGCATAGTATTTAAGTTCGTGCGCTCTGCTTCAGGGACCTGGGGTTCATGGGTTCACATCCCGGGCATGTACCTACACATTGCTCATCAAGCCATGCTATAGTGGCATCCCACATACAAAATAGAGGAAGATTGGCACAGATGTTAGCTCAAGGCCAATCTTCCTCACCAAAAACAAACAAACAAATAAAAAGAATGAGAATTGAGAGGACATTTCTCCTCTCTTAATGAAGAGAACCAGTATTTTGTCTATCTTTTAAAAATTATTTGTTATGTGTACATATGTGCTTTAAAGAATAAAAATGAACACAGCACCCATTACCTACTATCCACCTTACAGAAGAGAACATTCAAAGTTTGTTGATTTCTTCCATTTGCAAGTTTCTAACTATATTCCTTTAACTCTCCATTTCAATTCCCACAATCAACAACATTAACAACAAAAAGCACCCTGCTATACTGAAATTGATCTAATCAAATTGTGCTTTACTTTGTACTTTTCAAACTTAAGTATGTATCCCTAGACAATATATAGTTTGGTTTTACCCAATTGATGTGCATATTTGAACTTTACTCTTTTTCATTTCAATATAATATGTAATTGTGTAACAATAATATACATCATATATTGATTCTTGAGTCTATGTATATTTGGGTTGGTTCCAATTTTTATGATTATAGAGAATGCTGCTATGAAGACTGTTGTACACATAATATAATATACACAGCCAGAGTTTCTCAAGAATATATAGCTACTAGTAGAATTCCTAGGTGTTAAGTTTGCCCATCCTAAATAATGACAAGCTGCTTCCATAATTTTGTATTTTTTTGCTCTCTTTTTTGTATTTTTAACTCAGTGTGTTACTTCTCACTGATCCACATCCTGACTAACATTTATTACTGTCAGACTTTTTAATTGTTTTCAGTCTGGTGGGTGTGAAATGACAACTCATAGTGATTTTTATTTTGAATAACTCTGATTACTAATGAAGCTGGAGAAAAACTAAATTATGAGGAAATTTTGAGGCCATTATACTTTTGCGTATTGCAGTTCCAGCATTCTCTTTACTCTTTCCTTCTGGAAATTTAAGTCAATATATGTGGGACCTTATCACTCTATACTACATATCCACTAATCTCTTTTCAAAGTAGTCTATTTATCTCATGTGGTACATTTTATGAAATTTCCTCAGCTCCATCTTCTACATCACTAATTCACTATTTAGCCACGTCTTATTTATTATGTAAACCATCTCTTGATTTTCCAATTTTAATTTCTTACTATTTTAGAAATTCTATTTTGCTAATTTTTTCAAATCTGCATATCTTGTTTCTTTGTAAAAATTTTTTATTTCTTCTTTTATTTCCTTAAACGTGTTAAGCATAGTTATTTTACGGTTCTTCTCTGATAATTCCAACATCTATAAATGTAGAGTTCAGTTGACTCTTCTTGCCCATTGTGATTCCTTGTTTGTATGTGCCTCTGTGTGTGTGTGTTTGTTGTTGTTGTTATGTTTAATTATTTTATGAACTCAAGTTCTTTCAAATTTTATCTTTGGTAATTTTTTGAGACTTGGGTTGAAATGTATTAATTCACAAGAAGAGTTTTATTTACTAGCTTCAAATCTGTGCTAAAGTATCTGGATTACTGTAACTTTTGGAGGGGGCTTCATCATTTCTTTAAAGGCAGATTTTTGGATCTAGAATGTCGTCAAATGTTAACATTTTAGAAATTGCTAAGTTGCCCATATGTTTTCTATTTCTTACCTCCTGCATGTCTTCATAGAAAAGAAATAGCACATGTGGATTCTTTCTCTTTTCCCACCAAGATTTTGCATGTTTATACCAGGAACCGTAAGGAACTAAAATTAGAGATAAAAACAATGTACAGGCATGGTATCATCCTTCTATAGCTTGAAAATGAGTGTTCACACAAAAGTAGCAACAATACATAGAAATAAATGATCATAGAATGAAAACTAGGTATTAACTACACACTTGAACAAATTTCTATGCAGCAAGAGAGGCAAACTATGTTAAATAATCCAGTTACAGGAACATATTCTCAACTTTCATCATTATGACATGGTTTATCACACAGGGAAAAAGTGAAGGAAGTCCCCTTCCCATCAGTTTGATTCAGAGCTCATTTTTGAAACTGGTCTGTATGTCAGTATGTGTGTGTGTGTGTGTGTGTGTGTGTGTGTGTGAAATCTATTAACTTTCCTATCATTAGAATTCAGTCCAAGTCTCAGATTTACCATTTACAAACTAGCTTTGGCAACTGAAGTTAGTAACTATACAAATTTTTACTAAACTACCTGCAGTTTATGTGGTAACGGGTATTCTGTTAGAAACCCTTGGTGTCATTCTCACTCTAAAAAATTAGAAGATTTTGGAGATGATGTGATCTGACCAAGCGCTGTCTCTTCCTTTCTCTTCTCTCATGTATGTTCAAGTGTTTCACCCAATAATAAGCTGACAGAATAACATAATAATGTGTGAGTCAAAGTATTCTGCTTTGTATTAAATAAATTTGTATCTCTTCTGTTCTTTGAACTTATTGACAATTTTTTTTTTTACAGAAAAAGTTATATAATGATATTTATAGTGGTCTTATTCACCGATTTTCTAGAGGCGCAACCTTATCTTTCTCTGCCTTACAATGTGTGTTTTGATGATCTTGAGGAATATAATTTATTCATGATGATTTAGCATAAATTTTTCCAATGTAGCACTCATAAAGTACATATATCCTAATTTATTGAGTCAAATTATCTTATATAGACATAGAAATGGCATTATTATCAATTTTCTTTACAATTATTACCACAGGATCAGAATGGCCTTCTTTAGTTAATAATAGACTCTCCTGAACCATTTCTTCCTCAAGTCTAAATACTCAGTTGCTTTAGTCTGGAGTTAAATAAAAAGGCAACATTTCCAAGAATTTCTGCTCAAGTAACTCTGTAATGTTCTGAAAAATCTAGTTGAATGATTCAGACTGTACACTGGGTAGAATGAGTAAGAACTTGTTATATATTCAGACTTCTTTGTGAATTCTGGTCCCATGCAGCACCTGAAATTTTTCATAGAAACAAATAGGCATTGTCTGTCTCTCTTCTTTATCCCCCTTCTTAAATGGAGTTGTAATAACGTGCTGTGAAATTTTTTTCTAATAAAAAGAGACAAGAGTGAGAATTGGACACTGAGTTTTAGTCTTAGAGAGGAAAATCGTTACTTCCAATCCTCAAACACAATTATGTATTTATTTGTAGGCATTGAACTAGAGTGTCCAGTTTTTGCCATTTGCCATCCACATCCAGAAAACCTACTCTTGCTGTAAAGTTCAAGGGCTTTGAGAACTTCTGTGATTTAATTAAGCAACAGGGAAAGAACTAGACCAGGACAGACAACAAATATTTTTGCTCAGAGATTCCATTCGTCTTGTATCATTTACCCTGAAAGAATTTAAAGAAAAGAAGCTGTTCTCACCTTGTCCATCCATGAATTTCTCTGCAAACTCTTGAAAAGATCCAGGATGTGGATGCCCATCTACCATTAGAAAGAAATAATAAAAAGAAACCACCACATCCTTGGCATTCCGGCAAAGATAGATCATCTAGGAGGATGAAATCATATATCAAATCACTTAATTTTTTGAAACATAGTCTCATCAAGATTTAAAAAGGAAATAATTAGGGCCGGCCCCATGGCTTAGGGGTTAAGCGCACGCACTCTGCTGCTGGCGGCCCGGGTTCAGATCCCGGGCGCACACCGACACACCGCCTCTCCGGCCATGCTGAGGCCGCGTCCCACATACAGCAACTAGAAGGATGTGCAGCTATGACATACAACTATCTACTGGGGCATTGGGGGAAAAAATAAATAAATAAATAAAATTATGAAAAAAAAGGAAATAATTATGTTTTCAGCTCTAATAATACATATTTATTGTAGATAGCATATAAAATATATAAAATTATAAAGAAAAAAGTATTCAATAACCTGACATAAAAGCATCTTCTGTGGTGTCGTTCAATGTTAGTTACCACTTTTCATTTTTATGCTATTTTCGCATATAACACTTCATTTGAGTGTCACAGATTCCACTGATATAAATTGGACCAGATAGGTTATTATCCCCAATTTATAAATGAGGAAACTAAACTGAAGCTGAGTCAGAATACATCATTGAGAATAAATCATTGAGAGTAAATGATTTGGTAAATCATTCAGTCAATAATAAAGTCCTCTGGTATTTACACTATACCACCATCTTGCATACTAAAGAAAAAATGTCCTGCTGTTTCCTCACTCCCAATCTTACAGAAAGAAAAATGTTTATGAGAGTCTATTTAAATGCACATGAATCTCAGTGAAAATGTAATCTTCACCAACACCTTGCTGAGTTTCCGTTTTACACACAGAGGAAACACCAATAAATTAGCAATCAGGAGGCCTTGATTTTAGTTGCTGGTCCTATCACTAAGAAGTACTATCATATTGTGTAAAGCACCAATCATTTTGGACTTAGGATTTTTACCCACTAAACAAGTGAGTTGGGTCAGGTCCGTATGGTCTCCTTTAGGTCTCATAGTCAATGCTGCAGGAAAAGACCTTCAAAAGTATACTCCGATATCCCAGTGGTTTTCCATTCTGGCCACAGGCACAGCAACGATGCCATCAGAGAAGGCTGCTCTCGATTCTCCACTGTTTACTGGATACGACTAGGCTCACTAACTTCTCTTTCTCAAGTCTTGACATTTTCAAACAATTTTAAAGAAATATTCCAGTTTACTCTAAAAAGTATGGCTCTGGTTTTTAAGGTCCTGCTATAAAAACTTCTAATTCTTACAGAATGAAAGTGATATTTCTGTTCTTATCGAAGCTATAATTAGCCATATTGAATTTTTCTAATCTTATATGCAACTCTCCCTAGTTCTTTTTGCCTATTAGCTGAATGGAATTCTTTGCTAATACATTCATGAATTTACTTCAGAATTTTCATCCCTTGTATTTCTTCATGCTATTCTCTCTGTCCTGAATATTCTCTGCATCTCAAAATACTATCCATATTTAAAGCTTGACTCCAGGTCTTCCATGAAGATTTTTATTCTTCCAAATAGCAGGGAGCAAAAGCAATCCCTCTTCCCCTAAACTCCCATTAGTTTATCTTATCTCCATTTTGGCAGATCCTATTCTGTATCCCAAACTTCTTACGACACGTGCACTCCCTGCCTTCGAGGAAAATCTAGGTCTTTCTTGAAGATATGACTTTCCCTGCAGCTCTCGCAAGTCAAAGTTGCTAGTTTACCCACAATTCACTTGGAATCATAATCCATCTTAAAAATCCAACACTTGAAAGACCCCTGTTCCTGTGATACTCAACCCATACGTCTCCCAGATGAATTTCTAAGCTTGTGGTCATTCCCTGGCTTTAATAGAAGATTTGAACGCTTGCCTCATAGTATTACTCTCCATTGCAAATCCTGTCATCATCTTCTGTAATTTTAGTATCTGTATGCAAGATCCATCTGATTCTCTAGGTTCTTGTACTCATTGATTATTATCTCTATTTCACTTCAGCCAAACACTTTTATAATCAAATTGCAAATCTTGTCAGTACCCTAAAGGTTTCACTTTTGAAGCCTTATCCTGGAGCATCATGTTTTCTTCCAAGAAAGTCCTGCTCCTCTCTTCTTCCTTATCAATTATTCCCAATAAACCTCCCCTGCAAACAATCCAAGACCTCAAATCTATGGGCCTCACTTCTTCCTCATCTATTAGGCTTTTCCCTCTTTTTTTTTTTTTTTTTTGCAATTTCTTCTTTTTTATCACTTATAGTTTCTGGCCCACCACTCCAAGCACACTCTCACTAATAATCTCAGTCCATCTGTCTTCTTGCCCCTTAGTGAATCACCTTGGACATACTTAGGACATGAATCCATCTGACTGTTTTTCTACTCTTTGATGATCTCTGAGATGATAACGAGTTTTGTGAGGACTGAGAATATGTAAATGTATAGTGTTTAATTTTGTTTTGGAAGTAAAGGGGTAACAAGGCTACAACCTATTCTCCAAAGGAAATAAGGTGACTTGGTCCAATTTCTTGAAAAAACAGCGATGACACATGTCCTGTAAAAGACATGAATGGTATTTACTAATGAGTAAATGGTATTTATTTTATGTATGCAACAGGATGTATGTGGTCTATCTAGGATTGCTTATGATAAAAACAAAACAAACAAATAAGAAACATTGGAATCTTCAGAATTTTGGATGATGGTTCCTCAGAAAATGTCAAATACACCATGTAACATCAGAGTACAAAACGAAAATGTTTCATGACTGTGATAAACCCCCTTTTTTGTTAGCAATGGCTGCACATAGTACTTTAATGTCTCTTAGGTGTAGTGTGAATCATAGTGTGCCCTAAAAATGCTATAGAGGTCTTGAGGAACACCATCATTGGTCCAAGACAATGTTTTGCCTTTACTTTGGGGTTACGTGTATCATTCTTTCTAAAAAACAAAACTGATCACGTCAATAAGCAGCTTAATATGTCACTAACTCCTCATTATCATCAAATAAGTCCAAATTCCTTAACTTGGATTCAGTGTCTGTTGTAATCAAACACAGCTTCTCTCTCTTCATTCATCCAGCCAATATATACACTCAACCTCCCAGCTAAACTGAACTGGTTTCAGATCCCCCCTGGGGTTGCATCTGAGATTGTATAGACTAACTCCTATGCATCCATCAAAAATAAGCTGAGATGTTACTTTCTTCTGGATGTCTTCCCTGCCCTCAATGTCTGGGCTAGAATTCTTCTCTTACTTGATCTGTGGCACCTCCTTCATTGTTATTTTTATTTGTCCCTTTCTCCCAGTGGCCCATGTGTCCATGAAGACAAGGATTGGATATGTCTTGTTAATTGTTATGTTGCTGGCAAATAATAGGCATTCAGTAAATAATTATTATGAGATACTTGTCTGATTGGTCCCTGTCTAATTCATTTGCATTCCTCACAATGCCAAGCACAATAGTTTGCAAAAGGAGTATATTGAATACAATCAGTAATAATAAGAAATACCAATGTAGCTACTATTTATTGAGCGTTTACAATCTGATAGGAATTATATAAAGCATGTTACAAGCATTATTTCATTTAATCCTTGCAACAACAAGATGAAGATTCTATTACCATCCTTCTTTTATAGATGAGGAAACTGCAAGTTAGAGAGTTTACTTGTTTTTCCAGAATTACCTCTAGAGTTGGAATTGAAATCTAGACTCTCTGACTATACTATAATCCACATTTAAGTGTCTATAGATTCAATGAAAGAATAATTAAACACGTGTATAATGTGCAGTTAGGATGTTACCTGACGTGATCATTCTAAAATTTCTTTGAGTTGGATGATGTTCTGAGAATACTTGATTCTGGTTACCTTACAGTTCTTTTCCCAAAATGAGGCTGGAAGAAGTTCAGGTGACAGATGAGTCTTCACTCTTCTAGGAGATGCCATCTGTTTTAGTTGTTTTATTCCTTAGTTTTAGAAAATTCAAGGTTAGACAACTGAAAATTATAAATATCTGTGTGGATTTTATAAATATTTTAAAAATAAAGTAAATTTAAGATTCTGTATTGTATTCATAGTAATAATACATACTCACTATGACAGAAGTTTAGATACAGAAAAGTATACACAAAAAATAAGATCAAATAAAATCTCACCACTTTGGAAAAATCATTATTAACATTTTGGAAGCAATTTTCTATATAAATATATCTATGTGTCCAGAATCACAGCCATTCAAATGCCACACACGCAGATGAAATTTTTAATATCATCTAATTGCCTTTTTTCTTAATATATTATACTCAAACCACAAGCTCAAGAAACATGTGACATTCTAAAAATTTTAATGGTTTCATAGTGTTATTATATCACTTTTAACAATTCTTTTGTTGGTTAACATTTATAGTGTTTCCAATTTTTCACAACATTAAAAGAATCTGTGACAAATACCCTTTTGCGTACGTCCTTGAAAATGTCATGGATATTTTCCTAGTTTTTAAAGTATTATCATATTCATCCCATAGAGAAATAAATGGTCACATGTTACTAGGCTCTGCTGAAGGCATATAAGTGCCATTCTTATTTACTGTATCCCAGACACATCCTATAACATAAACCCTGTCAAGATTTTAATTTAAATTTACATGCTTTACTGTGTAGAAGACATAATACTAATTGTCACTCTTGCTTATAGTCTCTTTCTTGGCACCATGTACACCCACAACTTAAAATATACATAGATAGCTTTTTAAATCAACTTTAACATTACCATTCATTACTCCGTCTTTTCTGCATTCCAGGTACGGTACTCGATTAAAAATGGCATCTTCTTTGCACTTTTCCACATCACCCTCTTTATGGATCATGTCTACGATTTCACTAACCCAGGTTATGCCTGTAAAAGTTAAAGAAACCTGAGTCTCCCACTGTCCGTGCAGGGCTGATGACAGGAGTGGTGGATTTGTAGCTGGATAAAGTAGGAAGAAATCAATACAATATTATTTGAAAGATGTCAGAATAACCCAAGGACTCAAGAAATATTTCCTCTAATATTTAATCTTATAGGACCCCAAAATAGTCTCGATAAATAAGGATGAATATTATGGTAAGACACACCTGTGGTACGAGTCCAAATTTGTCCATGATGAATTGTGACATTGTGCAAGCTGTTAACAATTTTTGATCTAAATTTTTACATGTAAAAGTAAGGAGACTTGAATAATAGTGGATACACTCAAGCATGCTTTCAACTACAGACTTTGCTGATATAGCTTCTTATGCCTCAATTTGAGCCCTAGTTCAGAGGAAACAGAAAAGAATAAACTGGTCCTTGCCCTATGGTGGTTTTGCCCTAAGGTCTTTTGAAGAGTCAGAAACAATGCTCAATGATTACAACACTTCTTAATTCTTAAGATTTTATAATACAGGTAGGCACAGGGATCTAAAGGACTGCAAAGGAGGACCATTTAACTCAGTGCGCTGTTGCTGCTATTGTGACATTCCAAACAGAAATATCAAGAGAACATAACTGAACTTAGATTTTACAAATTACTAGCACAAGTTCTCCAAATTTGTGAGATAGAGAAGGATTCTACCAGGAAGAAGAAATGTTTTTTTTTTTAAATCAAAGGTCAGATATTTAAGAATAGTATAGTGCTGAGGAAAAGAATTGCAAATAGATTATAAAGCTTAAAGAGTCTACCTGAAGAGATGTTTGGGGATAAGGCTATAGGGGCAAGCAGAGGGCAAGGATAAAATGCCTTGCAGTTCATTCTAAAGAGTTTGGGTTGTTTTCTAAAATTTTTAGAAAGACATTGACATACTTTAGACAAAAGAACAAGATTACCAGGGTTATGTTTTGGAAGAATTTTTCTAGTGGAAGAGTAAATAAAACAATGGCCTGAGGGGGTCAATAGGAAGGGAGACAAGAGACCTATCAGAGACTGATTGTGAGACATATCTATGAGACTAAATGGGAAAAACATTTTGATTGATTGAACATGGGAAACGAAGAAGCAAGAGGAATTGAATCTGGAAGAGTTCTCAGGTCTCCCTGCAGATGACTGGTCATGCTGACACTGACCCAGACAGGGAAGAGAAGTGGAGGAACAGCTTCCGAGTCAGAGTAGCCAAAGGTATATGCAGTGTTTGAGAAATTTAAGTGCTAAATGGCACAACCAGATAGAGTAGTCTGGATTGGACCTTTCTAATTTCTAAAGATCTGTGATTGTAAGACACCAGAAGTATGATAAACAGTTAAGCTAACCTCAGGAAAAAAGATGTTGCTTAAAAATGGAGTTTGGCAGATGGACTTGAAGTGGAACTAGTCAATTGAAGACAGTTTTTTAAATCTGTGAAAATTGCTCATACTCTGTTTGTATAATAATCGTGATAGTGACATAAGGTAAACAGAGTTGATAGTTTCAAGTTTTAGTTATGGTTCTATATTCATCCATCTATGTTACCTAATTTTCTGAAGTGGCCAACAATATCCATTTGTCAATGTGCTGCTCAAGTTATAGGTACAGATTGTGGTCTTAGGCTAGAGCTATACGACAACACTTTTTCTATGTCTGGATTAAAACTACTACGTATGTCTTTATTTAATATGGAGAATGAGTGTGGAAGAAGCAAACAGCTTAATATTTAGCATTCAAGGTGGGTTTGCCATTTTAGGTGAAAAGGGAACAAGTTTTACATAACAAGGAGACTTACCAGATTTGGGATAGGCGGCAATGACAATGTCATCTGGTCTTGCCTCGAATGCCTCCACATCATCCCAAAATTCAATAAAAGGTTTATACATTAGAATTCCATGGATTCTGCCAAAGTATGCAGAATGGTCAAGTTTGGAAGAATCCATCATAGAGTGGCACACTGAAAGAAAAAAGCTATGTTTTCCATGTTGTATATTGGAGTTATATATATTATATATAGCTCTGTATAAATGAGGTTATCTTGAGAGTCTAGCATTTCTCAGCTGTTGAGCATTTAGGGTAAAGGTGTATTAAAGAAGTATCTATCATAGTCCTGATGCTTTAAGAGTTTCTATTCGTATTAAGGAGATAAGTCTAACATATAAAAGAATAAGAAAGTACAAGGCACTACAAAGTAAATTTGAAACTATGTACAAAATGTGATACATTTATATTATCATATTTATACATAATAAATTCTATGATGAATGAAAACAGAGCCTTCAATTTCTCTGTCAGAATTGATGTGGCATATAAAAAGACTAAGAGGTTCAGAAACACAACAATATTTTGACAAAGAATCACTGATTAATTATGTATACATTAAATAACAATAAAAATTGATGGTCACATTTGATAGCTATTGCCAGATCTCAAAGTTAGAGCTTCCTTAGTTCCTGACTATATTTCGTTTACTGAAAAAAATTCAAATGCTTGGTAAGTGTATTCTTAAGAGGATGGAATTAATAACACTGTAATGGATGTATCTAAGACACGGATTCTTGAGTACAGAAGGTTCTTCTGTGACATCTGGCATTTCCTTTACTTCTCTCTCTCACTTGATCAATAAAGTAGTGGACACTTCCATTGAGTGATTTGTCTGAAAATTGTAAAGGTAAACAAGATAGTCATGACTTGATAATTCAACTCCCAATCCCATGACAACTCATTTCAAGTTCAGGAATTTTTAATTAAGCAAGCTTTCCTTCATTGGCTTTCAACTTCTTTCACTACCTTTTTTTCCCCAAAATTACCCCATTCTGAGTTTGTGATAAAACATCTCAACAAATTTTGTCCTTCTTTGATATTAGCCTTTCTAGATCTCCCTTTTATTCATCCTTGCCGAAAATGCTGTCTGGTAAGCTGTGATATCCTCATACATTTGTGACTACTGTGGCTTTTATTGTCTTTTTCAGAGAATTTGTATTATAACAGGAGCCTCTTGGAGACAATAGTTCTTTTAGCCACCTAATGTGTGTCCTTTAATACACACAATACCAATCCCTGAGAGATGCTCCAAAGAGAGGAAATGAAATTAGTAGATACTGTAACAAATTAGTAGAATTAAATTAGTATTAACTTATATTAAATTAAATTTAATTGAATCTAGTTAAATAAGGATTCGTAGAGTTAATCGAATGAAATTAGTAGATACTGTAACTCAAAGGAAGAAATATCTGACAGTAAAATTTTAGGAAGATAAGTGTCGTACAAATCAAACCAAATAATTAGACCATTGACTTATACAGAAGGCTTCTTCCGGTAGTGTCTTCCCCACTGTATTTTTTAGGTGGCACATTACAGATGAAAACTTTCAGATGTTGCCTCCTAACTCTCCCTCACCATCGTGTGGCACTAAATCCCATTGGTTCCTTCTCCATTATTTTCCTCTCTTTTCTATTTTTATGGTCACTGACCTAGTTCAGAACCTCTCCAACTGTTGATTGAACATGAAAATAGCCTTCCAACTGGTCTTCCTGTAAAAAGTGCATTTCTCCTCTTTCCACAACAATCAGAAGAATAAAAATGGGTGTTATTTACTAGGCACTTACTTTGTGCCAGACTTGACTAGTTTTATTTTAAAATCTTATTTATATGTAATAAAATTCAGTGAAAAGCACACATTATCAATTAGGTTAACTTTGCTCCAGACTTCTTGAGAAACCATATTTATCTTAAGAAAGGATAAATATGCACACATTTATGCATACATGTGAACATACATACAAACATCCTTACTTTTGACAGATAATTGTCGGAACAGTTAAACAACATAGAGAAAATGAAAATACCCTCTTTATTCTACTCTCAAGAGACAATCACTCCTAACAGTATTCTATTTATGCTTCCAAATATTTAAATGTATGTAAAATCTATACACTGTGTATATAATTTAACTTGTTTCACATTTTACATTCATTTTTCCTATATTTTTTCGCTGAAATATATAATGTGAACATACTTTGGTGTTGATATGTAAATTCTGTCTTTATTCTTATAAATGACACATAGCAGTCCATATTATGGATGGAACATAGTTGATACAATTCTTTATTGATGGAAATTCTTGTTTTCTCAAATTTTTTTTGATATAAGTAGCGCTGCAATGAGTGCCTTTGAGCATATATGTTTTCACACTTATCCTTGCAGCGACAATAGAACAGCCAAAATAAAATGTATGCACGTGTAAGGTATTGATAAATATTTTTTTAACAAGTCACTGAAGATTGTACCTGTGTCCACAGAATATGAAATTGCCTATACTCTCACATCCACACTAGAACTGGAAATTGTTTAATGTAAACTTTCATAATTAAAAATATATTTATTTATGTTATTTCACAGATATTTTGCAATTTTTCATGCATGTTTTCATGTTTTTTAAGTTTATCGGCTATTTTAGTCCTTTTGATCCTCTTTGCCCATCAGGAGTGTTGCTTTTTCCCAACTGATTTACAGCCAGTAATTTATTATTGATTTATATGTTGAAGATACTAGTAGTTTTTCTGTCTTATATTACCAGTTATCTTTTAATTTTTAATGATGTTGTAAAGAAGTTTACTGTCCATGTAATCAAATGTGTCAAATTTTTGCACATTTTACAATTGATATGGTTACCTAAATATTTAAATGTGCGCATATAATGAGAAATACATATGGGTTAAAAGTTTATAATTCATATTAATTTATATAATTAATGTGTACATAGCAGACAATATAGTTTTTAAGAGTATGGGGTCTACAGTAGCCCACTTTGGTATAAATTCTAACTCTGCTATTTGAAGTTGTATGATTTTGGCAAATTACTTTAGCTCAACTGTGCTCCACTTTCTCATCTACAAATTGAGGATGAGAATAATTATAATTCTTATAAAAGACAATTATTGGGATGTAAATGAGAGGATAAGCCTGGCAATTATAAATGCTTAATAAAAGTGAGCTTATATTGTTATTATGCCAAGTCTATATGATAATGTAGAGGAACCAGACAGTTTGCACTGTCTCAGTAAGAGTATGCATTATACAGCAATATTTCTGTTCAAAGAAGGAAAATATTTATCCTCATAAATTCCAAAAAGTGAATTTGATAAATATAAAAGTATCTGGGGAAACATAGTCAATAATCTGTGTTCTCACTGGAGATGGTAAAATGTACACATGTCCAATAAGACTTTTGCTCCTGTTTGTTTGTTTCTCTAAGGTTCTCTGGGACAACCCAGCATGACATTCGTTGATTTTGGCCCCAGATTGCACACCAGAAGGGAGGTACGATGAGAGAGTTTTTAATTTGTTTGTTTGTTTTTAACAAAAGAATGTCTTAACATGTGTGTTGGAAACCACAGACCACACTAGTCATGGATGTTCTTACCAAAATGGAAAAGAATTCAAGTCCCTAAGGACCAACTCAACATTTTCCAAACCTCCCTCTCAGGTGTATCGGATGTAATCTCACCAAAATTATGAGATTTTGATTAGAAATCAGTCTTGTTAATAAATTAGCTTGTTCCCCAAACCTTCTCCTTGTTCTCAGAAAATAGATCTTTCACTAGAAGCAACGTGTATGAAAGGCATCACTTGCCCTGACTACTGATTTTTTAATTCATTACAACTTTCTTGATATTCTGGCAAGTTTGTAAGAATTGGTTTAAAGTCAATTAGGAGTAGCTGATTTATAATTAAACAGTTGGCTGACTTCTGGCTGCCCCTTCAAGATCAATTTCGATCTCAGAGTTAAGCGAGGTGGCATATGGTAATGTCTCTTTCTTTAACTTCTTTTGGTAAATTATCTCATATCACATGTATAGATTCACACTTTAGCTGCTCTCTTCTTTCTCAAAAGATGCATTTCAGTTAGACATTGTTAATTTCATTTCCTGAGTGTATGGGTTACTGTTGTCTGGAAACACCAACAAAAAATTCTTAAACCTGTGATTCATAAATTCAATTGAATTAACAAATATTTTTTTCTTCTTTTTTTTCTCTTTATTTCTTCTTCCTTTCCTTTTTTCTCTATCTTTCTCCATTCTCTCCTACTCCACTGCCAATTTTGCCTTTCATCCAGCAATTACTCTCTAGGTGAGTGCCTACCTTGTTCCCAGGCACTGTGTTAAGTGCCGGGATACCATGTGAGTACAGATGCATAGGGCTCATTTAGTCCTCACTGTCTTGGACTTACCTGGATTTGGATAAGCCAGCTGAAAGCAGACAATATCATTTTGTGCATCTTTCTATCCCAGGCCTCAGCACTGTGTCACACGGTAGAGGCTCACAAATAATCATTAAGTTTAATTGTTAAATCAAATCCCTCTGGACTCTCTAGTTTCTACTAAGGAGTCTTCAATAAAATAGGGACTATGCTGTCAATGACCTCCCTGTCAATAGCACTTGGATTTTTGCTCTTGTTTACCTGATGTCTCTCATGTAAAAGTAACAGTAATACTCGCAAGGCCCCTGGTGGTATAGACTGCTCCCGATATATTTTACAAAACCGAACACCAGCCTAGAAGCCAGTCTACACTCTCACTCTTTCCACCCTGCTTGCCTTGTTTCCTCATCAGTAAAGTGAAGAACATGCCCAGCATGCAGGACTTACAAGCAGCTATCATACTGTCAATTTATGTTAACATTCTTTAAACAGCAAAGCACTATATAAATGCAAGATATTATTTTTAATGACAAACAAGTGATTTAAAAGGGCTTTAAATGCTTTACATTATTAAGTAACTAAAGTTACAAAGTATTGATAAAGACTTTATTCTCTCTGTATTTCCTCTTATAACAGCTTTATGATACACAATTTGCACTCTATATTTCTTATATCTATAATTTAAATATTAACATCAACAATAATGATAAAAATTCAACCTGTCCAGATGATCCTGTGAAAGAAACTGGGTGATCCGGTTTAGTTTTCTTCAAATTCCCACTCAGGTTGTAAACTGCAAACAAGTATAAGAGCCACCTGTGCATTTGGAATGTTTCTGGTGAGTTTTATTCTGAATTCAGAGAAGGAGGTGGAGATTAATCTGAGGGGCGTGGCTTTCTGGAGCCTGTGATGGAATGGAGTAAAACAAATATGGGTACATACCTGCGGATATGTTTAGCAACACAGAGTCATGCTCATTCTTACAAAGATGTCGAAAGCCTCTGCTGTTATTTTCATTATTGGCTCCTAATCAAATTCCTAAATTTGCCAATAGCTATCAGTATGTTGAGAAGAGACAAGGAGAGGAAGCTCAGGGGACAATGAAGGAGAAGAGGTTTGGAGCAAAATATAAGAGAGCTTAGAAAGGGAGAGTCCCTTACTCAGTCACTGATGAATAATAAAACGGGTGAGGATACCTTCAAGAGAATAAACTTGCTAGAGGAGTGAGAGGAGAGAAGAAAATGACAGGGAAGAAACAGGAGGGCAGCAAGGACCCTGGATCAGGAGACCTGGCTCAGTTTACTGAGACCTGTCCAAGAAGGCTTTGCCGCACGTGGTTGTGTCCTAACAAGTCAAGTGGAAAACACCTTCTATTTAAAATCTTTGCCTTTAACTCTTAAGCTTTCCTGAAAATCAAAAACAGATGACTGCTGAAGAAAAAATGCAAACACCACTTACCTTTGGATTATGATTTTAAAACTCTCACTTCTTTATGCCCCCAAGCACATTCTTCATGATATAGTGTGGAATTTCCAGGTAAAGTTTGCCATTGGCACCATTGGAACTCAGATAAGAGAATGAGAAAAATAAAAGGCTAAGGATTTGTGGAACCCATGAATCCTCCACCTTTCTTCTTTTCATGTCTCTACACCCTCTCTGTCTTAAGTTGAGAAAATTCTCTCTTGCTCTCACCCCACCATCACCATCAATATCTCTAACCTAGTTAGAACTGATTAGTTCTCATTTGTTTCTCAATTCTAATTAGATTGTGCTTCCTTTGAAAGGCCTTCCCTGACTCTTGTAAGACTGACTATCCCTCGAGTGACCTTCAAACCCTGTACTTTCTCCTAGTTAAGGCATAGTCCTCCACTGTGCTGTAACTAAAATTTTCTCATTCAACATCGTCATAACAATGTATATAGCTTAAAAACAAGGCTTTAGTCTGTAGTTAGCACACTGCATGGCAGCTAGAAGGCTGGGCATTGAATACATACTGACTGACTGAAAATGGCTAATCTCTTCAAGAAAGATAAGAAGTTAAGAGATCTATTATTGTTAATTTTTGAAGGCAGTAATATCCAGCCCTACCCAAAGTGAAAGAGAATAGTAAAGTGGTTTCTGAGTATGGAGCTTTTCATGATAGAAAATCAAGGTAGAGCAGGAGTAACCAGGGACTCAAATTTATATTTTATGTTATTTGGTTTTAAGTAGTCAGACTTTTTATTTTTTGTATTTATTTGAGTTAAATAGAATGTGTTAAAAACATTTAATCATTAAATATACAAATTTAATATGGACTGTAATTTTTAATGCTGTTACATAGCTTACTTTAATTTTTTTATTATTATTTTTTAATGATAAGGTTCTGTGAGGCCTTTTGTATTGTTTACCAAAAATATTCTTTCATCCAAAAAGTCAAAATATGAGCTCAAGCTCGTCTGAACAGGTTTACGCTTCAGGCCATCTCTCTTGTCTTTCACTGGCAAGCAATTGACCCCAGGGATGCCACAAATGCTTCTAAATAGTGTGATACTGGCAACCAGCAAATTTCAAAACACAGTTAGCCTCAGAAAATCTTCCAAATGATGAGGATTCACTTGCTAATAAAATAAAAACAATAAGCAAAATGACCACCTTAACCTTCATCTTTGTCTATGAGCAATGAGTACAAAGGAAGTTATAAAATGTTTGAGTCCATATTCTTTTTTTTGTATGTATGTGAGGAAGATTAGCCCTGAGCTAACATCCAATGCCAATCCTCCTCTTTTTGCTGAGGAAGATTGGCCCTGGGCTAACATCTGTGCCCATCTTCCTCTGTTTTATATGGGATGTTGCCACGGCATGGCTTGACAAGCAGTGTGTCAGTGTGTGACCAGGATCTGAGCCTGTAAATCCTGGGCCGCTGAAGCAGAGTGTGTGCACTTAACCACTACACCACTGGGCCGGCCCCTGAGTCCATATTCTGACCTTTCCTCCTTTGTACACTCAACCAGAAAATAATATCCAGGTAAGCACCTATTTTTAAAATGTTTATATTGACTCTTGGAATTTGGGTTGATCTGATATCGTGCTGCTTTTGTAGGGGAGGAAGAACTATTCCTCTAGGTCCTTCTGGCTGATCTAAGAATTAAATTGACATAAGACAGAATAACAGGAGAAAATCAAACAGACTTTAATAACATTTGTTAAGAGAAACCCAGGAAATCTAACTCACCAAAATGGCAGAAGCCACTACCTCAAATACCATCTTCAGCTAAGGACAAAAGAGGTTGAGGGTAGTGGTTTGGGACTTCTATAGACAATGAGACCCAAGAAAGACCTTTGATAAAAATGAGCTTGCTAGTGCTTTCCTGTCTACCACACCTAGTTTATATTATACTATAGTTATATTTTGGTATTAGCTCCTTCCTGGAACAGGCCTTCTATCTTAAATTCTTTTAGGCAGTTAGGGGGAAGGTCAGTTTCTTTCAGAGTCTTTTGTTCTTAAAAATAATTAAACCAAAGAGATACATTTTGGGGTGGCAAATTCTGATCCTACCTTTGAAACTTCAAGAAGTTTCACAGTCGAGAAGCTATATTGGTATATGGTTCCATCTCATTGAACATGTCTCTTAGTCCTAATAGATCAGTCCACTAAATTCATTTCAGAAGACAGTGATGTAGGTCACTCCTAAATGTAGGCCTATAGTGTGTAAGCAAGCAATCAGGTATTTAATAAGAGGCATTTCTATGAAAACAAAAGAAAAACAAGGTTAATCATTGGAGGAAATTATAAACCAGTTTCTGAGTCCAGGGGACAGCCCGTCAAGAAGATTTCTCGATGTCAGTGTTGAAGCATCTTGTGCAGTTTGAAATGTCTCTGATGATGTCATTTGGTGTTCAGGTATCTTTTTGAGTGCCTGTTGCAGCAACAGACATGAAGATTGTCTAAACACGGGCTGTCATGATGATCTCTCTCAAGTTTATATTAAATTATCTAGCTTCAGTTTGCAGGGCCTCAAGAAAAAGAGTGTTTCAGTTCTCAGTGATACCAAATGAAAAGCATGGAAAAAATTGAAAAAGTTAGTTTGGAGATTTGTAGCAAGATAGTTCAAGAGACCGGAAGAATTCAGGTTCCAATCCAGTTTATACGTAGGAAACAAAAACCTCCAAGACAATTAATAGAACTAGAATCTAATGTCCACAATTTTGTATTATAGTTTCTACAGAAACATAATTTTTCTCTCTAAAATCACTCTAATTTTTACCAAAGATAGCCAAATTAAGATTAACTGGTTTCCAAGATAAGTCTAGTTTCAATAAACTTGGCCCAGTTATTTACATAAGTACAGCAAGAATAGCAATCAATCTTATAGGCTCTTTTAAATCCAATTTGCTGTAACTTTTCATAAGGAATCTCAGATTGGACTTTATAGGCCTCCCAAGGACACAAAATCCAAGCCAAGGACTTGTCATCAGACTCTGCCTGCAATACCTTAGATGTAGGTGAATTCCTCTCTTCTCGAAGTCCCTAAAATATCTTGAGTCTTTTTTGCACCTGCTAGGGAAGTGAACTTCTTTACTCACAAGGTAAGGTTGCTGGGAACACTGTAAGCAAGGTACCACACCAATATTTCCAAGAGGCTTTATTTGTTTCATAAATTCAGTCTTTGTTCCCTAAGGCTGTTTGGTCATATCTGAGTCTATGCCTGTTTGTTTCTCTCAAATATGACATTTCGGTCAAAGCTTTGGTAATATAACCAATGTTTTCAATTGTGTCTTGTTGTAAGGAGAACTGATTCTTATTGAACTTATGCAAATAACTATGTAGCCATGAAAATAACAATACTCACACACTAAGAGTTTCCATATTCTGAAGGAATCAGGTAGGGAGAAAAAGATAAATGTTGTAATTCTGCTTACAAAAGTATAATTTACCAAATTCTTATAAGCCATAGCTAACTTAAGAGAAAAAGTTTTTCTTAAATCTGGAAAAACAAAATATTAAAAAATAAGCAATATTTCAAGCAAAAGTCATAAAAACTGTAGTCATTCTCATCAGTTCATTCAGTCCCATGCAATCAACTCTTGATCTTGGTCTTCTGTTAGCAGTTTCACAAAGTCATCAGTTTCTGTCTTAGAGTTCTGTAATTTCTTACCCAGTCCAGTCTTATGATCTGAAAGTTTATCAGAATCTTTTATTCTAGAGTAAATGTCAGAGTCTTTTTCATGAATGTCTCTGAAGATGAAGTGTTTGCAAAAGCAGAGTAAAACAAAACTATCTGTAAATGACAAAAGACAAAAATGGCAATTCACAAAGAAATTGTTACTTTTGTGACATACAATATTTTAAGATACTAACTGGAATTATGACTGATAACCAGAACAGATCAGAATTTTAAGAATGATTTTTAATTTTTAAAACAGTTATATCAATAACATTTACCCATACAATATCATAGGTCCTTATGAAACAACACTTAGTTATCCATTTAACCAAAGTGACAACAGAAAATGTAAAATGCAAACAGAGAGTTAAACAGTTAAAAAAACAAGGACCTTAGTTTTCCTAATAGAGAAACCTCAGCCTTTTTGAACATAGGAAATTATTTTCACAAAACATAGAATTTCTGTGTTTCATGTAGATTTACTCAAAGATAAAGAAAAACCTTTTATAATTTCCTTATCAAGAGTAGGTTAAAAGTTTAATTATCCTTTTAAGAGAGAGAAAACCAAATTCTAATTTTGCACCAGCTTACTTTTGATATTAAAACTCATTTACTTAATTAAATTTATTTCAAACTTAGCTAACTTGACCATGAACAGCACTCTTTTTTTAGAGTTCCTCTTCCACAAACCTTTTGT